TTAATAACTGTTTTTAAATAAGTAATGGTAAAGATGCTGGTAGGGGCAGGGGGAATCAAAACCAAAATCCCTAAGCACTACAGGCTTTTTTTTTTTTTTTAAAGTTAATCTTACAATGCATGCATATGTAGTTTGCTGTGTGGTAGGATAGGCTACGAGTAGGGTTCTGACAAAATGATATAATTATTGATGTTACATTTGTTAGTTGCTTTTTCCTTTTACTTTGTACATCGGTTTGTTCTGCAGTCTGTTTTACTACAAAAACACTGGTTGGTATGTGGGCTGGATGGACATGAGCTGGTGTGTCTATCCTTATATTATTTATATGTAGCTGGAAAGCATTCTGGTGTCCTCCATTACTAAGGGTATCTTAAACTTAGGAATGAAAACTAAAATTGAGGCTTAAAATGGGTTGTTTAGGAGTGCTGAAAACTTGAAGAATTATATAAGTGAGAGGATGCAGACTGAAGTGATACCACCCTTTTACAAAGAACTCAGTGCTGAAATGTTCTGTCTTACAAAAGTTATTTCACTAAAGAAAATCTGTGGTATCAAAAGCTACTTTTATAATATTGCATTAGACCTTTTACAAAGAACTCAGTGCTGAAATATTCTGTTTTGCAAAAGTTATTTTACTAAAGAAAATCTGTGGTATCAAAAAGCTACTTTTGTAATATTGCATTAGATAGTTCTTTTAACTCATCAAAAATTTGAGTGATAATTCCAGTTCTAACTGTACAGTGGAAATTCACTTTTTGTAGGAGAGAGACAGAGCTGCTCGGATAATTCAAAAATCTGTAAGGAACTTCTTGTCTCGTCGACACATCTTGAAGAAAGTGAATGCAGCAGTTCTCATCCAGAGACACTGGAGAAGATACTTAGCCAGGATGACTTATTTAAATCTGAAAAAGGCAAAACTGGAGGAAGCCAGAAGTAGATCTGCTATAGTCATTCAGGTAATACAGTCAAAAGTGAGATTCCACAGCAAGGAAACCCTCTGAAACCTATAAAGGCTTAAAAGGCTTGCTCAGTGTCATTTGTTCTGCTTGCAGCAATTGATATCTTCAAATGCAGTACTTTTAACATAATACAGTCAAAAGTGAGATTCCACAGCAAGGAAACCCTCTGAAGCCTGTAAAGGCTTAAAATGCTTGCTCAGTGTCACTTGTTCTGCTTGCAGTAACTGATGTCTTCAAATGTAGTACTTTTAACGTTTTTCCTTTTTTATCCCCTCCTGAGATATTTTTGTCACTTTTTCTCTCCAGAGAGAAATAGTAATGTTCTGTTAAACCAACAGTTGTTCCTTCCTATTGAATGTTCTGGTATGCCATGAATATTACAACACTAGGCCTTAAGTGACATATGGACCGATCAAATTGGCTTTGCTCTTTGCAGCTGCTGGATGTTACTTAAAAAAGCTTTTTTGAAAAAAAAAAAAAAAAAAAAGCAAAACCACAAACCCAAAAAAAACCCCATCTTTGCAGCTGCTGGATGTTACTTAAAGAAGCTTTTAAAAACAAAACAAAACAAAACCCAACACAAAAAAAAGAACTAAATATTTTCCTTTAATAAAAATAGTCTTACGACCCCTACAGTGGACACGCTCAGAATAGCAGACATTACTTACCAATTGGTAGTTGGGCAGTTGATTTCATTTCTCAAGATACTTTCCTCACTATTACTCAAGCTAAATATTATAT